ATTTGATGATGAGCATTGCTTTGCTAATTATTTACTTGAAAATAAATCCTTTAAACCATGAAAAAAAAATGAGTGCCTATTCAAAACAATGCTTATGCTCTGTGCTCAGTAAAGAGACCTGGAAAATCTCCGTTCTAAACTGATTCACTCCTTAAATTGTAAATTCCAGGGAGTAGCTTCAGGCACGGCTGGATCCACGTAGTCAAAATGAAGTTGTCATCAGAAAGTTATGTCTAAGGCTTGCCTCTGCTTCTCTCTGTGTTGCTGTCATCCTAGGACTTTCTCCAGGTTGAGACAAGGTAGGCCTGCAGCAAGGAGCTCCAGGCTTAATACTGTTGGTTCCCAATAGTTTCTGCAAGAGTTGCATTGGCCTGACATGAGGTACTGCCCATTCTTGAGCCAGCAACCGGTATCTGGGAAATGCAAGGCTCTGATTAACCAAGCCTGATCATGTGCCGCACCTGAAACACTGGTGGACAGCTTCACCTAGAGTAGTGATGGCGAACCTTTTGAGCTTGGCGTGTCAGCATTTTGAAAAACCCTAACTTAACTCTGGTGCTGTGTCACATATAGAAATTTTTTTATATTTGCAACCATAGTAAAACAAAGATTTATATTTCTGATATTTATTTTACATATTTAAATGCCATTTAACAAAGAAAAATCAACCAAAAAAATGAGTTCGCGTGTCACCTCTGACACGCATGTCATAGGTTTGCCATCACTGACCTAGAGCATTAGGGTTCTTTTTTTTCTTTCTCTTTCTTTTTAAAGAATAGTTTATTGACTTTTAGAGAGACAGCAAGGGAAAGGAAGAGAGAGAAACATTGATAAGAGAGAAACATGGATCAGCTACCTCCTGCATGCCCCCTACCCAGGATTGAGCCCGAAACACGGGCATGTGCCCTTGACTGGGATTGAACTAGCAGTTTCCTGGTGCATGGGATGATGCTCAACCAACTGAGCCCCACCAGCCAGGGCAACCACTAGGGTTCTGAGTGGTGGTGAAGTAGTCCTGCATAGTAACCCAAACTCTGTAACCCAAAGAAGGGAAAGTGGATGCTAGGCTGGCAGACAGCTCTACACAGTCTCTAACTAGTAATAGTTATTGTGAAACAATAGCAGAAAGGTTTAATCAACATGTTTTTCCTATTGTGGTAAAATTGGTATACAACATTATATATACTTTAGGTGTACATTATAATTCAACTAGAGGCCCGGTGCACGAAATTCATGTGTGTTGGGGGGGGGGGGCGGGGAGGTGTCCCTTAGCCTGGCCTGCACCCTCTCCAAACTGGGACTCCTTGGGGGATGTCCCACTGCTGGTGGCTCCTAACTGCCTCTGCCTGCCTGCCTGATTGCCCCTAACAGCCTCTGCCTGCGGGCCTAATCGCCGCCTAACTGCCCTCCCCAGCAGGCCTGATCACTGCCTTACTGTCCTCCCCTGCCAGCCTGATCATCCCCAACTGCCCTCCCCTACCTGCCTGATAGCTCCCAACTGCCCTCCCCTGCCGGCCTGATCACCCCCTAACTGCTTGCTCCCCCACACTGGTCTGATTGCACCTAACGGCCTCTGCCTCGGCCCCCACCACCATGGCTTTGTCTGGAAGGAAGTCAGATGTCTGGAAGATGTCCAGTCAATCTGGTCTAATTAGCATATTACCCTTTTATTAGTATAGATATTTATATACACTACATAATGTTCATCACTGTAAGTCTAATTATCATCCATCACCGTACAGTTGATCCCCTTCACCCATTTTTGCCTGCTCCCAGAAGCTTATGTTTATTGGAAGTGTAGGAAAGGCTTTGTGGCACATAGTAAGGTCTCAATAAATGTTTCTGGGAAGAACAATTCACAGGGGAGTAAACAGGAACATACATTAAAGTGTAATGTTGTTCTAAGGGAAAAGAAAAGGAGTCAGAATGAGGGCACACTTTTATTGAGTCTAGGAAATGAGCCAGGAAACAAAGGTTCGGGATAAATGGCACACTTCTGAAAGGAGTTCCTTAGAGACAGCAAGGGGCTGTTTAATTAACATGTAAAACTACCTTACTCTGGAGGAAGGAGTGCATAAGGAACTCTCCCCAAGGTTTTCTGATGACACAAAGCGCTGGAGTTGTGATGGGAGGCATGGTGGAAAGTTCCCAGGGACCTGAGGAGGTGGGGAAAGAAGTGGTAGCCGAGGAGAAGGCAAGAGGTGACTTTAAGGATATAATTCCAACTATTGCTTGTGAAGTTGAGGAAGTCAAGCTCGTATTTCTGACCAAGGAAAAGACCTGGCATTTAATGTAGACTGTTTCTTGAGAACTTCGGCCCAGGATGGTTCAAGACAAAAACACAGGTGAAATACTGGGGATTCTGAACTACAGTTTGTGGACCAAAAGGCGCACAAAAGAGTGATGTATTCACAGGTATGTGTGAACTCCTAGCCCACTGATACTGAGCAGGGAGGTCTGAGAACTGGCAAATCAAAAATTCGGAGGGCTGGTTATAGAGCTCAGGTAACAGGGTTAGGGACTTTTAGGTCAAAAAGGCAAAGATGAAAGTACATAACACTGTGAGCAGACAACATGTGAACTTGCTCATCAAATCTGAAATTCTGGGATTGAATCTGGGTGACATGAAATTTAATCAAAGGAAGGCCTGAGCCTGGCCTGTGTGACTCAGTTGAGTGTTGTTCCTTTCACTGAGAAGTCACCAGTTCGCTTCTGGGTCAGGGCACAGGCCTGGGTTTTGGGCTTGATCCCAGTAGGGAGCCTGCAGGAGGATCCGTGTTTCTCTCTCTTATCAATGTCTCTCACCTTCTCTTTTCCTTTCTAAAATCAATAAAAACATTTTTTTTAAAAAAAGGAAGGCCTGACTCTCTGTTTCTCCTCAGTGTGGTGGAGAAAAGAGTGCTTAAATCAACATGGTGATGAGGACTAAATGATATCAATTAGGTGACAGTGTCTGACACAGAGGAGGTACAGGTAAAACTAAAGCAATCTGGCATCCCCAGGTGATTCCTGATGATGTGATGCTGTTCAGAGCACATGGGATCTGGCATCGGGAGACAGGGTTTGAGTGCTGGCTCCACTCCGATCTTCATTTTCCCCATCTCTAAAAGGCAACAACAAGCCCTACCCCACTGAGCCATTAGCACATTGAAATGAGACCCTGCATTCATTCAGCAAGCATTTACTAAATGTGTACTTACCAGACAGCATGCCAGGTGCTGGGTGAGGACATAATAATGAGAAGAAAACGCTCTGTCCTTGGGCTGTGTTCCTTCTGGAATATCTAGGGGGATAAGATAATCTGTTCCTTATCTTTCCCAACTTCTAGGAGCTGCCCCCATTTCTTGGTTCCTGGATGCATTGCTCTGACTCCTACTGCCATTGTCGCATCACCTCTTACTCTGACCCTTCTGCCTCCCACTTGTTAGGGCCCTTGTGATTATACTGGGCCCACCCAGATAATCCAGGGTAACTCTCCCTGCCTCAACCCTCTTAATTTCATCACGTTCCTTTTGCTATGTCAGGTTCTGGGGATTGAGATGTGGACATCTTTATTCACTCTACCAGAGCACCCTTGGGCTATGTAGTAGGACATGGGTTATCCTGAGACCCAGGAAGCATGTTGGGCTTCCTCTGAATAGAATACAGATGGTATTCTATCGTGTCAAGTCTTATGGGGAGGGGAGCAGAGTGGGTATCTGCCGGCTGATTGGAGATGCCCGCTCAGAGTTAACTATCACACATTAGACTCCTGTAGAGTCATAAAGGGAACACTAAGCAACAAGTGAGGATACTGGCTGCTGCCATTCAGGAGCTCTGAGACCTCCGGCAAGGATATTACTTGTCTAAGCTCCAAGCCACACCTAAATCAATAGGGATAAATAGAACTACCTAGAAGGGTTGGAGTGAGGATTAATGAAAATATCATCCATGAAATCACCTAAGACAGTACCTGATCCTCAATAAATATCTTTTTTTGGGGGGAGGGGAATTCACCCCTCCCTCTTTCTCTGACTCTTTTGCTGTGGCCACTGCCCCTGACCAGGCCTCTTAGAAACCTTCATCGCTTGCCCATCAGGCCACATGCCTCAGCCTGGCAGTAGCTAGGAGCAACAGCTTTGAAGCCCTGCACAGGAGTCCCTGTTAACCACGGAATCTGGAGCAAGGCTTTTAAGCTCTCTAAGCTTCGATTTCCTCCTTTGTCCAGTCGGGATCAAATCGTCTATTGAACCAGGCTGTCCTGAGGATTAAGTGAGATGGTGAATGGAAAGGGTTTAGCACAGTGTCAGGCACAAAAAAAGTAGTGTTTTTCATCTCAAGAGGCCTGACCTCCTTTCAGCTTCCTCTTCTACGTTCCTTCCAGCAACACAGGACAAACCCTTCTCCCTGCAGCAGGCCTTGGACTTGTACACCTGAGGGGCACCTCTGATATTCCTAGCGAGTCCTATACTATTCTTTCTCGAGCCTCAGTTCTACTTTGCTTCCCAGTAATTTGTTCAGCCTTTACTAGCCTTCTGGGTTATGGCTATTTTGTGAAGGCCTCTGAGTCAATACTGGACACGAGTTCCTTGGGGAAAGGAGTTTCTCTGTGTAGTAAGTTGCAGAAGTACTCCCTCTCCTTGCCCAGCCTCAGTTTCCTTATTTGGAATGAGCCCATTGGACTGCAGTGGCTGAAGGGCGCCTAACAGCTCTGAGATCTTAAAATGACCGAACTTAATCAAGCAGCAGGGATCTTGTAGATTACATGGTCCACCCCTCTCCTTCTCCAGAGGGGAAACTGAGGGTCAGGAGGGCCTCCCCTTAATGCTATTCTCTCAGGCCTCGGGGCTAGGCTTCCGGTGGGCATACAGCCCAGTTTTCCTAGCCACGCAAGGGGAGACTCTCAGGCGTCTCCAGGGCTCGGGGCGCCGGAAACACGTGTGTGCTCACCTACGTGTACACACGTGAGCACACCTACAGCAGCAGGGGACCCTCGGGCCGGCAGGGGGCAGCAGAGACTCGGTTTGCGATTACCGGGCGCAGCCCCGAGGGAGGAGGGTGTGCTGCAGTCCCGGCGGCGGCGGTGGGAGCCGGAGGTGCAGCCTCCCAGGTGGGAGGCGGGGGCTGCGGGCGCAGGAAAAGGCGCCTGGGGAGCGGGCGCTCAGCGGGGCCTCCTCCGGCCCCGGGCGCGGCACGGCGAGGGGGAGTGAGCGCGCCGGGAGCACGCAGGCGCCCTGCTCCGGCTGGCCCTTGGCCGACGCGCGGCGCGGGAGCACCCGCAGCCCGCCCCACGCCCCACGCCCCCCGCAGCCCCGGGCCCCCGCGGCCGGCCGTCGGGAGCGGCCCCTCCGCCGTGAGCGCGGGCCGCCGGCCCGGAGAGTCCGCGGCGACAGCGGCGGGACGGCTACGGGGCCGCCCCCAGCGCGCCCTCCCGCCCGCGGCCGCTCGCAGTCGGCGCTGGCCCGGCCCGCGCGCCCCGCAGGCAGCCGGAGCGCGGCCTCGGCCTCCCCGGGAGCGTGCCCAGGGCCGCAGCCCGCGGGAGGAGGCGCCGGCAGCCGCGGGCGCTGACGGCGTCGCGGGGTGCTCCCGGGCGGCGGCGCGGCGGCGGCGGCGCAAGGGGCGGAGGCAGGGGGCGCCCCCAGCCAGGATGCTGCGGTTCCTACGCCGGACCTTTGGCCGCCGCTCCATGCAGCTCTACGCGCGGGGCGCGGCAGGGCGCGGGGCCGCCGGGCTGGGGGACGAGCGCGACGGGGGGCCGCGGGGGGGCCCGGCCGCCGCCGCCGCCTCCTCGCCGCTGCCCGCCGCGCCCGGGGGCAGCGTGTTCCCGGCCGGCGGAGGACCCCTGCTCACGGGCGGCGCGGCCGTGCACATCTCCGCCGCCGGCGCCGCCAAGGCCACCCTCTACTGCCGCGTCTTCTTGCTGGACGGGACCGAAGTGAGCGTGGATCTGCCGGTGAGTGACGGGACGCAACTCGTCTGGGCACTGGCACCCCGCGCCCCTTGGGGCAGCCCCCCTCCTCCTGTTTTTCTCTCTGGAGCGCTCCCCTTGCACCTTTCCGGGGATCCCCTCCCCCTTCTCCTGAGAGTACTCCTTAACCCTGGTTCCCTCGGGAGCCACCCCGTCCCAGTCTTAGGGGGCCCCATCCCTGGCCCGCGCCCCCTCCTTGGCACATTGCCTGGCTGGGTTACACCTTCTCTGGCTCCCACCGAGGCCTTTGGGCCTCATCCCCCTCCCCAGCGCACCCACTCCCCGAGTCCCCAGTCCCCGCCCCCTGGCGCGGGTGACAGGTGTTCCCCTCCGCCCCCCAGATTCCAGCCGGGCCTGGACTATTGGTTAGGAAATGTCAAAGTGATGCGGTGCTGCCCCGGGGTGGCCCGCTTGCCCCCCACCTCCCAAAGTCGCCACCAGGCCTTAGTGAACGGGCAGGGAGAAGCTCTCATGCTTGCTGCCCGGCAGGTGCCAAATTTGGGAGGGAGTCGGGGGACCATTTCTGCGCTCTCCTGATCCCCTCTCCGTGTTCCACCCCACCCCACCCCACCCGACCCCAGCCTCCCCAGGAGCCCCTTCAGGCTCGCATACTCGCAGGGGGTGGGCGACTTGGGAGCCAACGCTAGAACCCACTCTCTCGGACCCGGCCAACTTTGAGCTGGCGCAGCCCGTGCTGGGGCGCCGGGAGTCGGCCCCGGGGCGCCCACGGAGTCTGGCGCGCCGGACTTCACCCGGGTCTCCGTGCGTGGGGCCGCCGACGCACCGGCGGGTGGCCGCGGCGCCCGGGCCTGAGTCCCCGGCCACCCGCCCACAGGTGGTTGCACCCCGCCTCCCTCCAGAAGGGAGCTAGGCCGGCGCTGCTATCCTCCCCCACCCGGGCGTCCAGCTACCAACGCGTCTTTCTAGCCCAGGGGCCAGATCTGATCAAATCAAATCTGCACATTAAAGGGGCGCCTACTGTGCACCCTGCGCTGCGGCAGATGGTGCCTTTGGGGATCTTTGGGTGTGACTGAGGACAGGGCAGTGATTGGGCTTTAGATGAATATTACAGACCATCTCGAAGGTTTCAAGGGAGAAAAAGAACGTTCCCGGACTTCCAAAAAAAAAAGCATTTAGGCCTTTCCGGGTGGGAGAAATTCGTTGGACTTCACCCGAGAACTAGGAACATGTAAGGGTTTTAGATGGGAATATCAGAGCCTGCCTGGCTTGGGGTTTAATGCTTCCCTCTGTAGGTTTAATTTTGAGACAGTTTCAATTTATGGCAGTTTTATTTTTTATGGCTCACAGTGCTCTCCATAGAATATCATTTTGTTATGATAATACCCTTTTGGGTTTTGTTTTGTTTTATTCATGGAAAAGGAGCCAACATTCCGGTGCTTTAGAGCTGTTGTCTAAAATAGCATTAAAATGTTGCTGCCGCCCAGGATTGAGGCTCCTTGGTTTTTATTTAGCTGGGGGAGGAGGCCTGACCAGCCGGAAGGAGTGCAGAGGGGGGCAGGCTGCCTCTGGAGTGGGCAGCTTGTGTGTGGAGAGGATGTGGCGCATTTTGCATCTCTGATCTGGGAGAGGGATGTTCTCCTTGGGAACTTCCCTGGGGATGGTCGGTTTGTAAAATGTATTGCTTCTGTCAGGTCTGTGCGACAGGCTTAAGTGGTGTTTCTGGAGTGAATAATGCCAACTGAGTAAAGTGCATTCGTGGTGAATAAACCTGAACAGGTCGGGGCAGGAATGCTGACTTACTACACCTGGTGGAGCTCTTGGGGTGGGGGTTGGGGGGGGAGTTTGCACCCTAAAAGCTTTCTTCACTTTATAAAAGGCTGTTTGACAGAATCACTCGCCAGGGTTTCTTATGATGGCAGATGTTGCGATGCTTTAGGATGTGATTTAGTGAACCCCAAATTTTATTTACACGCACACACACACACACACACACTCGCTGTCCAAACGCAAATAAAAAGAAAATGCTGGCTTTTGTCATGTGAGGCAGCTGGAGTGCAGGAAAGATGAAGAAAAATCACCAGTGAGCATGGCTCACCGACTTAAAGATTTATTGCATATCAGAACCGCATCACAGTCTCCTACGCTAGTCTTCCCAGATCAGAGTTTTAGTTCTTGTAATTCATCCTCGGAGTTGCGTGGTTAGCACCCGGCAGCCAGCTCCCCGTGAACTTGTAGCACAGGTGCTCCTTCCTCAGACCCTTTCCACCAAGCTTTTTTATGCTGTTGTTTTTGGCATTTGGCCCCATTATTCTCTTCTGCATCCCTGGATTTTTACCGCTTCCTGGGCTCTGGTGTTGCATGCTGCCTGGCGCACAGATAGGATTTACCTTTGACCACCATACCCGTAAGCTGGATTTTCTGTCTCCAGCCACTTCCACCGGTACTTGCCAAGCTATGGCTCCTTTGTAATTAAAACCCTCTGGTGGTGTTAGCTTCTAGAACGTCTTTGTTAAGCGTGTTAAAAGTGGTTATGCATTGGCACAAGCCATTTTTTTTAGCCCTGGTCCGGACACTTGTGTTCCGAAATTGCCTCGAATTCAGCACCAACCTCAGTGTGACTGTGTCAGGGCACCTCAGTTTTCAGTTCAGTCAACATTTAGTGGGTGTCTCCAATGTGCCAAGCGCTGAGCTGTGGACGGAAAGGTGAATGAGGGGTGGCCTTGGGGCTCTTGGGAAACACGTCTTTTTATCCTACGTGATGCTAGGTGATATGACAGGCTCACCCAGACAGGGTGCTGGGGATGGACAGCCTGGGGGAATTGGGAAGACTTCGTGGAGACTTTGACACTTAAGATGATAGCATCTCCAACCCAGTATCCCTTGTGCATTTTTAGAATACCATTTTTAGTATGTCAGGTTAACTTCTTGGCCAAGCCACAGCCCAATTGTTGTGTGTAATAAGGCAAGAAGCAACTGTAATTGTCTTCTCCAGCGATCCTCTTCTGAAGAGGCCTGGAACTCCCTTGTCTGGTGGTGGGCTGTGGCCCCTAGCACACCCGTGAGTTCTTAACCTTTGCTGTGGATAGTTGCTGGTTTCTCAGTGCTTGATAAAATGTGAATTAAAGGATATATATACATATACATATATATATATATATATATATATATATATATATATATATATATATATATGTTTGTGTGTGTGTGTATACACACACAGACACTGAGTGGCCAGATTATTGACCACCTGACGTTTGTAGGCAAATTAGCTATAATTTCGCGCTGAAGTTGCTAAAGGGCCAGATCATTATAAACGTCTGAATAGCACAACATACCTAAGTATCGTTGCTGATCAAGTTCATCCTATCATGTTGATGGCGTATCCCAATGGAGATGGCTTCTTCCAACAAGACAATGCGCCATGCCACGGTGCTCGTATTGTGCAGGAGTGGTTTCAAGAACATGAGGGAGACTTTACCTTGCTTAGGTGGCCCCCACAATCACCAGATCTCAATCCAATTGAGCATTTGTGGGATGAAGTTAAAAGAGCCATCAGGCAGCTGGTTCTACAACCATCAAATCTCACAGAACTGGACAGTTCTATTTATCAGGCATGGTGTCAGATTCCATGCATCACCTTTCAACATCTTGTGGAGTCAACGCCAAGAAGAATCGCCGCAGTATTAAAGGCAAAAGGTGGCACAACGAAGTACTGATGGAGTGGTCATAATAATCTGGCCACTCAGTATATATATATATATATATATATATTCCTCACCCTAGGATAGTTTTCCATTGATTTTTACGATGAGTGGAAGAGAGAGGAAAAGACAGAGAGAAATATCGATGTGAGAGAAATACATCATTTGGTTGCCTCCTGCATGCGCTCTGACCAGGGCCAGGGCTGGGGAGGAGCCTGCAACTGAGGTACGTGTCCTTGGCTGGAATCAAACCTGGGACCCTTCAATCCGCAAGCTGACGCTCTATCCACTGAGCCAAACAGGCTAGGGCTATAGGATATTTTTTAAACATCCATCTGACATGCAGTCCAACGTAGGTTAGCTTCAAAAACCAGCTTCCTAGGAGTCCTGGGCACACCCTACCAACCAGAGTGCCACCCGGAGCCATTCCTCTTCAGAAAACCTTGCCTTGGAAGGTGCCTCTCTTTCGTTAGCCTAGCCGTCAGGTGTGGTCTGGTCAGCAGGGCAGGACTCCCTCAGCTTGCCATAGACACTTTCCTCCTATTCATGCAGCTGAAGATCCCATTCGTGTGCTTGGCAGCGGCACCCACTGTTGACTCATATTAGCTCTCTGTTGACTAAATCCCTGGCATCGCTTTTGCTCGTGCGGCTGTTGCTCAGCCCCGTCTCCCCCCTCCCCTGCGTGCACAGTCTCCCAGCAGCTCTCTGTGGAAAGCTGTTAGGATGTGTGGTTGGCTGGTTAGCACTCCCACTATGCCTTGGAGGGCACGGCTTTGTTGGCCAGTATTGCATTTGGCGCGATTGCTTTCATTGTCTCTGGAGCTCTACGTTGACTCATTGTGGTGCAGTGCAAACATGGAGAGTTACATGGAGAGTTTCAGGGTTGCAGAGCCGTGGTTGAATCTTGTAGGCTGTGTGGGCAGCCTCGGGCAACTTAAGCTCTCTGAGCCTTGATTTTCTGGTCTTTAAAATGGGGATGTTGGGCAGATGATATGACAAGAAGGATACAAACAACCTCGGTAAATGGCAGGGTGCTGAAGGGTTGCTGGTAGGTTGTAATCTTACGTCTCGTGCCTTCTCTTTGGCCCATGGGAAGGGTTTGGAAATGTTTCTAGTAATGAACATTAAAGAAAAAAAGCAACTGTGCCGGGAAGCTTAAACATCACTTGGTTCTCCTTCAGTGGATATTGGAAGTTGGATGCAGTAGGAGAGACAGTTTTAAAATTTTCACTTTGGGTGACAAAAGAATCCCTCCCCTGTCCTCCAACAGAAAAATGCAGGTTCTTAGGATTTGAAGACTGGAACTTCTGATCTAACAAAGCC